CCGAAAGCTTAACCTTCTTAGCAAACTTATTAGTTACGAACGCACAAACCTCATGTGGACATGTCTTCCATTACTAAAATGACGCTAACAATTTTCCCGTTCTTCCTGGCCTTTTGCTTTTATCATGCTATTTTAATAAGCAGCTCAAATAATAACGCAATTCTCTGTTTTGGCAAATCTCCGGACCCATTCCATGTTCTAAAAGGTTCAATTTAATACGGACGAGTTAAATAGATCTCTTGGTGATTTATGTGATATTTTCGTGCCTCATAATTGCCACCGACCGACTACAGATCAGCGTAAATGAATGTAACAAATAGTGTTAAACGCATTGTTGAAAGGAACGGATCAATCAGCTGCTTTTAAGCAGAAACAGAACTAGGAAAGATGCCGTGCCTGGCTACAGCCGTCTTTTGATTGATTGAGTACAGCACGGAAGATTGCATTCACTGGAATGGGACATTAAATCGTCGTAAGGTTATTGAAAGTCCTTTCATATCCAGCGTTCTGCACATGTCATGTCGGCGTTTTTGACAGGTGTCATCAGTCTCTGCGCACTGTTGCTGTACTCGCGCCGTCAGGCGGTCTGCAAAACTAATCCTACCTCTGACATTTGCGTGGTTTTATATCTAAGGAGATTTTAAACGCAAACAAAGGTACGTCCAGAGTGCAAAAGAATTGTTAGGGAATAAGTGAGCGAGTGAGTGAGTCAGTGAATCAGCATGTGAGTGAGTGGGCGAGTAACTATATAGCGTGTGAGTGAATGAGTGAGTGTATGAGCGATTGTGTGAATGAGTGAGAGTGAGGGAGTGAGTGAGGGAGTGACTGAATGAATGAACAAGTGAGTGAATGGGCGCGTAACTACATACCGAGTGAGTGAGTGAGTGAGTGTATGAGGGAGTGAATGAATGAGTGAGAGTGAATAAGTGATTGGGAGATTGAATGAGTAATTAGGTGACTAAATTAGTAAGCAAAAGAGCGATTGAATAGATTGAAACGTGTGAGTGTGTAAACGATACTGCGATAAACTTAATATTCAACTTAGTCATTACATACATGAAGCCAAGTAAATGTATGTGTGTGTTTGTGTATGTGTGTGTGTGTGTGTGTGTATGTGTGTGTGCGTGTTTGTGTGTGCGTGTATGTGTATGTGTGTGTGTTCATGATCTGAATATGTTCTCTTTCCATTCGTACTCGGTTGTGTTTCATATTTCACATCCATGTTGATGTCATCTTCCTGTGTAAGTTTGCTGTACTAACTCCTCTACAGAAAGCTGTTCAGACCAAACATGAGACACATTTCGCCTGCTGTAGAGGTTTCTATGCGTCATTAGTGACCTTTTCTCTCCAGACAACCTCAATCCTTCAACCCGCGGCGTCCGTGGGCGTTATCAGATCTGCTCTTAGACTGCATCAACAACCGCCATGGCTATAAACGTGTCTAGTTCAGCCAATCAGAACTTCTGCTCTTAGACAGCATCAACAACCGTCATGACTATAAACGTGTCTAGTTCAGCCAATCAGAACTTCTGCTCTTAGACTGCATCAACAACCGTCATGGCTAGAAACGTGTCTAGTTCAGCCAATCAGAACGTCTGCTCTTAGACTGCATCAACAACCGTCATGGCTATAAACGTGTCTAGTTCAGCCAATCAGAACTTCTGCTCTTAGACTGCATCAACAACCGTTATGGCTATAAACGTGTCTAGTTCAGCCAATCAGAACTTCTGCTCTTAGACTTCATCAACCGTCATGGCTATAAACGTGTCTAGTTCAGCCAATCAGAACTTCTGCTCTTAGACTGCATCAACAACCGTCATGGCTATAAACGTGTCTAGTTCAGCCAATCAGAACGTCTGCTCTCAGACTGCATCAACAACCGTCACGGCTATAAACGTGTCTAGTTCAGCCAATCAGAACTTCTGCTCTGAGAGCATCAACAACCGTCACGGCTATAAACGTGTCTAGTTCAGCCAATCAGAACTTCTGTTCTGAGAGCATCAACAACCGTCATGGCTATAAACGTGTCTAGTTCAGCCAATCAGAACTTCTGCTCTTAGACTGCATCAACAACCGTCACGGCTATAAACGTGTCTAGTTCAGCCAATCAGAACTTCTGCTCTGAGAGCATCAACAACCGTCACGGCTATAAACGTGTCTAGTTCAGCCAATTAGAACTTCTGCTCTTAGACTTCATCAACCGTCATGGCTATAAACGTGTCTAGTTCAGCCAATCAGAACTTCTGCTCTTAGACTGCATCAAACAACCGTCATGGCTATAAACGTGTCTAGTTCAGCCAATCAGAACGTCTGCTCTTAGAGTGCATCAACCGTCACGGCTATAAACGTGTCTAGTTCAGCCAATCAGAACGTCTGCTCTTAGACTGCATCAACCGTCACGGCTATAAACGTGTCTAGTTCAGCCAATCAGAACTTCTGCTCTTAGACTGCATCAACCGTCATGGCTATAAACGTGTCTAGTTCAGCCAATCAGAACTTCTGCTCTTAGACTGCATCAACAACCGTCATGGCTATAAACGTGTCTAGTTCAGCCAATCAGAACTTCTGCTCTGAGAGCATCAACAACCGTCACGGCTATAAACGTGTCTAGTTCAGCCAATCAGAACTTCTGTTCTGAGAGTCATCAACAACCGTCATGGCTATAAACGTGTCTAGTTCAGCCAATCAGAACTTCTGTTCTTAGACTGC